TCTAAGCTTTCTGAGCTGTAATGGGTCAGTAGAATAATTTTTAAAAATAAAGGGTGAAATGGACTCAGAGAGGTTGAGTAAGTTACAGGAGGTCACAGAGAAGTGGGAGATCACTTGTCCTAGTCTGGAGTCCTTTCTACAACACCAAACAAATTATAGACATGGAAACAAATACACTTTTGGAGAGAGCTAAAACTCCTTACGGGAATAAGCTTTCCATTACACATTTAGAGATAAAGCCTAAATGCAAACCTTCCCCTGATGGTGGGACAGCATTAACAAACGTACCCCAGGCTTCCACATATTTAAAAATATTAAACTAATTCCAGGGTTATAGGCTTGATTTAAGACATGGTAGTTAATAGAAAAGTTCTAGATAGAAAATAATTTTAGCAAAATTGTACATCTGTATATATGCACACGTTTAGAAAACATATTGCTTTTGATGTTTGTGCCATTTCTTAGTTATCATTTTATATGCTGTATCCACACCTGCTTCAACCATATACTTTAACCCACCATATTACTTTTTAGTTATGTAAGACTCATTTTCAGTTAATGAGAAATAATTAATATGTTTTAACCAATGAAGCACTTTCATGAGTAAAAATCCAGATTTTTATAATAAGTTTCTAGGAATAGCTCAGTTTTCACATTTAATATCTGAACCTCACATTTATCACAGGTAGCACGAAATTGCTTTTATTTTAAAGAACAGTTATATATTAAGAGCAAAGAGTATAAAATCAATAAATACACTCCCCTGTATCATATAAAATGTGTGTGCCACATTTCCCTAAGAAATTTCCTGCATTTAGACATCCTGGTCCATATTCATCTAAAAGTCTGAGTATACCCTTTCCCTGGCAGTTTTTACCTTTGGGCTTTGGTACATTTCATAGAAAGGAAAATACAGGCAGTGGAAGTAGAGGCAGAAGTAGAAGACTTCGAGCACAAGAGCCCATCAAGTGTGTGCTGGGGACAAGTAAAATGAGGACCTCTCCCACTGGGCTTCAGTGACTAAGGGTGGCAACGGTACAAAACGTGCAAGAAGTCAAAGAAATCCTTTTCCTTAATGGGAAAGACGACACCATGCAACGTGAGCGGAGTGATTAAGAAGAAATGTTTATTGGATTCAATTACTCAGCTGATGGCTCATCTAAATTTCACTTTGTGTTTAAATATTTGCCTGAAAAATGACTTCACATCATTTGTATGGCCTCAAAATGTCAGGACGGTGCGGATACTGAAACACAAAATTAAAGATATTATTTTAATATTTATGTAGTTCACACCCTTCCATGTAAGAGTCCACCCTTGGACTCTTACATTTGATGTGTCTCAGTGAACAGGTGTCTGTGTTTCCTGCCACTCCATTGCCACCCCTATGCATTCAAGTCAAAGATAGTTCACCTTTTCCAGGTTTGGTCTTGTGTTTTCTCCAACCTTAAATTCAAACCTAAACATGGCTTTCATTTAGGCTTTATTATGCATTGGGATTCTCACAAAACATTTTTAGAGCCTACATGCTTGGCATAATAGTTAACTGAAAACAATAATGGGTAATGAGTTTTTGCTATTTGTCACATACTCCATAGATGTTCCTTGTGTATTTTATCACTTAAATTCAACAATGCTATGAGGCAGACTTTAAAGATTAAAGATTAAAAATACTGAGGCTGCCCTGGCCGGTTTTGCTCAGTGGATAGAGCGTCGGCCTGTGAACGGAGAGGTCCCAAGTTCGATTTCGGTCAAGGGCATGTACCGTGGTTGCGGGCACATCTCCAGTGGGGAATGTGCAGGAGGCAGCTGATCGATGTTTCTCTCTCATCGATGTTTCTGACTCTCTGTTCCTCTCCCTTCCTCTCGGTAAAAAATCAATAAAATATATTTTAAAAAAATGCTGAGGCTTAGAGAGATTTGTAACTTGCTCTAGGTCACACATCTAGTGCAAATTGCTGGGATTTAAACCCCAATGCAAAATTGCACAAATTATAAGATGACGGGTATCTTGCCTGAAGGAAGCAATGATGTAATAGTAAACGATGAAGATTTAATAGAGCTCTGATAAAGTGGTGCATAAGGAGATAAAGCTGATTTGTATTTAGAGAGACTCCATTCCTGGGAAGATCAGACATATAACATTTACACTACAACTCATGTTCTTTCTCAGAATCATCTTCTGATGAATAAATACTTTAGAAAAGGTCTTCATGCCTTTAAAAATTATATTAAATATTATATTACATTAATATTTAACATAACATTTATATTAAATGTTACATTATATTAAAACAATCCCAATGTAGCTCCACCTACTCCTATATGTAATTTACATTTACAGCCATTAATGTCAACCTTTTTAACTGGCCAGACAGAGGCTTCAGTGACTCCAGGTTATGCTTATGACAGCAGGACTCTGATTCTTTTTCTTAGCAAGGGTGAGTGTAATTTTGTATATAAAGACTAGAGGCCTGGTGCACAAAATTGTGTACTGGTATGGGTGGCTGGGGCGAGGGGCCGCAGCTGTTCTGGTAGTTCCGCTGTTTGGTCGATTTGCATGTTACCCTTTTATTATATAGGATGAGTGGCTTTGATCACTTAGATTCACTGTAACCAACATATGTAATTTCATTTCAGCAGAACTGGAAATGCAAAACAACTGTTCCTAGCTTCTCACAATATGATCTTAAATGTTCTACATGCAAAGACTGAACTAGTAATCTAAAACCAAGGCACTCCAATGTTTTTCTCATACTTTCACCTCTTTTCTCTATTAATCAAACCCCCACCATAAAAGGAAACTTAAAAATTACCTCTTTCCAGAACGAAGCAGGTCAAATGCTTCATTTATTTTCTCAAAAGGTAAAACATGGGTTATTAATGGGTCGAATGAATACTTCTTAGCCATGAAGTCAGTCACAAGTTTGGGGACGGAATCTTTACTCTTAAAGCCTGAAAAGAACATGACATCATTGTTAGGGGCAGCCAGGGGTAAGAGAACTGGAGAGGAGACTTTCTGAATAGAATTCAAGTGGAAGTTCTACTGCTACTTACTTGTACGCAGACTACTATTACTGAGGTCAGTGAGAGACTGAGTGCTCCAATATCCTCTTGCAGTGGTTAGACTTTTTGTTGTTGTTGTTACTTTAAAAAATCTGATGAGCTAAGCTAGGGTCCTTAGTTATTAGCTCTCTCACAGAGAAATTATTGTATGCATGGTTATTCCCAAAGGCAAGGAGCAAAATGTGCAGCTGTCTAGATTTGGGCAATGAGAGTAACCATGAATTATTGCTATGGACTTCCTGTGTCCTCCTAGGTATATTTCATGCCTTGTGCAGTCACATGTATAAAGAGAAGTGGTGCTGAAAGACCCTAGTTTATGGGGACACCAGAAAAGCCTGTCTTGGGAATGTGTGTATTAGTTCTACATCTAGTTGATTTGGAGCCTGTAGATGTATTGGAGCCTATTAATTTATTTCAAACATTTTGCTTTTTAAAACCTGGCTTTGTCACTTGATGAAGGGGAGAAATCCTGAGATTAATAAGAATTCAGCCCTATTGGAAGGCAGAGGAGGGTGGCGGTGGGCAGGGGTAAGAGGTCAACCAAAGGACTTGTATGCATGCATGTAAGCATAGCCAATGGACATAGACAGTAGGGGGGTGAGTGCATGTGCTAGGTGTCAGGAGAAGGCGGGGAGAAATCAATGGGGAAAAAAGGCGACATGTAATACTTTCAACAATAAAAAATTAAAAAAAAAAAGAACTCAGCCCTCAAGCCTAAATACATACCACCAAAAACTGTTCCTGTCCAGGTACGTCCACCCAATAGCAGCATGGGGTTCACAGAGAAATTCTTGGAATCAGGAGGTACTCCTACAATGACGCTTACCCCATATGCCTCATGACAGCTTTCCAAGGCAGCCAGCTGGAATAAAATTAATATCTGGCATCATTGAAGTGGACTTTCTGATAGTCCTCATTCATGATACATGGTATCATGTAATTTTGATTTTGCTAGATTGCAAACATGTGCAGGGAAGAGACTATATGTCTTTGGCTTCTTCGATCCCATTATGCCCAGAATAGTGCTGTGGTTTTAGGAAATGTCCAGAAAACACTTTTTGAATGAGACAATGGGTGAATGAATTTGTGTACACTTAATTCTTCCTTAATAATGTAATGAAGAGGCAAATGTTATTACAAATATATCTATTTAAAGCCCGATTCCTCAAATACAAGTAATGTTTTGTCATCACCCAATTGTCAGGCAATCTATGAGTTGGTTAACTCATTTTCATTTGCATATTAAATAGTATTTTGAACTCAGTACTTTAAATCAGGTGTTCTGATGGTGAATAAGATATAAGATCAATTATATCATCACAATTTGTCTTTTGTCCACTTTATGGTCTCCCTTTTTAATGGTTCCCTACAGTACTCTCCTTTTCTAATATGGACAATTTTTCTGTATTTTTTCCAGCTTTGTTGAGGTATAATTGTCAAATAAAAATTGTATAAATGTAGGCTATACAACATGATCTGTAGGGTGTAAATATGATGATTTACTATACATATGCAACATGAAATGACTAGTACAATCAAGTTGACGTTACCTCACATGGTTACCATTTTCTTTTTTATAGTAAGAACACTTAAGATCTATTCCCATTGCAAACTTGAAGAACAGAATATAATATTATTGACCATAATCACTATATTGTACATTAGATCCTCAGACTTTACTCATCTTATAACTCTCATTTGTACCCTTTACCAACATTTCCTCATTTTCTACCCCAACCCCAGCCCTGGCAACCACCATTGTACTCAGTGGTTCTAAGACTTCAACTTTATTCCACATATAAAGGAGATCATAAAGTATTTGTCTGTCTGTGTGTGGCTTATTTTACTTAGCGTAATGTCCCCAGCCTTACTTATGTTGTTGCAAATGGCAGGATTTTCCTCTTTTTAAGGTTGAATAATATGCCACCATATACATATCACAATTTCTTTATTCACTCATCAGTTGACAGACACTTAGGTTGTTTTCACATTTTGGTTATTGTGAATAACGCTGCAGTAAACATAGGGGTGCAGAAATCTATTCAAGGTAGTGATTTCATTTTCTTAGGATATATACCTAGAAGTGGGGTTACTAGATCATACCATAGTTTTATTTTTAATTTTCTAAGGACCCTTTATACTGCTTTTCAGAATGTTGAACCACTTTACATTCCCACTAACAGTGCACAAGGGTTGCCTTGTCTCCACACCCCTGCCAATACCATTTCTTGACCCTTTGATAGCAGCCATCCTAACAGGAGTGGTGAGGTATTGTCTCTGTAATTTTGATTTGCACTGCCCTGATGATTAATCATGGTGAGCACTTTGTAACATACCTGCTGGACTGAAATGAACATGTTTTAAATGGGCTCTTACCTCCCAAAAATGTATACAGTGCATTGGTTTTACTTTAAACTATACCTATAATTCTGAAATTCCAAAAGAAAGCCTTCCTCTTCCAGTCAGGGCTTTAAACATGTTGTAGTAGGACACTTTTTCAGGATCTCCCACCTATATATACTGACCAGTGACCTGGTGCACAAAATTCGTGCACATTAAAAGGGAATTAATTAGAGGAAATATTTTAATATTGCTATTTGCCCTTTCTCTATAATAGAAGTGTCAGAGATGAAAGAAAATTAGTAAAATGTATATGAAAATCTTCCTCCTGTCAGAGTCTGGGGCATGCCATGAGACCCAGAGTCAAGTCCTCGCCCACCCGCGTGCACCTCAAAATTGCACGAGACCCAGACCTGGCCAGCCCCACCCCCATTGGGCTAGATCCAGACCCGGCTGGCCCCACCCCCATCAAGCCCCACCCAGTGGGGTGGGGGGGCGCGAACTCAGGTCACCTGTCCTGGCATCTGGGTGGGGGGGCACGGCCTGAGTTACCCTGGGCTGGGGGGTGCACCTTGAGGTCCTCTGGCCCAGGCCAGGGGGCACACCTTGAGGTTCCTGTCAAGCCCTGCTGGGCGGGGGACACGCCCACAGGTCCCCCAGCCTGGTGCCAGGGCAGGGGACACTGCCTGAGATCCCCCGGCCCAGGCCAGGGCAGGGGGCACACCTTGAGGTTCCCTGTCAAGCCCTGTTGGTGGGGGAAGTGGATTGAGGGGGAGGCCTAAGGTCCCCCGGCCTGGCGCCAAGGTGGGGGGCACGGCCTGAGGTGCCCTGTCAAGCCCCACCAGGTTGGGAACGCAGCCTCAGGTCCCTGCTGATTGCTCCTTAGGCTCATTATGGGAACTTGGCCTCCGCTGTGGGTGCAACCATCTTGTGTTACAGAATCCCTGCCTCTAATGCGGGTGTAGCCATCTTGACCTTTACAGCGTGGTAGTCAATTTGCATATTCCCTCTTTACTAGATAAGATTAATCCTTTGATTTTGGAGTATGACATCTGGAAAACCAGATGACCGTGGGACATGTGGTTATCAGACATTTGGTGTCTTCAAATAAAGTAACAGTCCAATCCCACATGAGGAATTGGAAGGAATTTAGCTGGAGATGGCTTCCTCATGGTAATTGACCATGTTTGTAATTATTTGAAAGTAATGTTATGTATGTTGTAGAGATGATGGAAGCACTGCATCACTGAAAACATTACTTCCTATCAGTAGCATCAGATAATATTTAGTAAGAGCTTTCCACTGGACAAGTGGCACTGTGCTAAGTATTTTATATGCATTGTCTCATGTAATCCATAGATATGTATTTCTTATACTTTTTGGTGAAAAAATCTGTTGACTTTTAAAAGTATTCAGTCTAACACATAGATTTGGCGCTTAATATGTGTGCCAGGCACTGTGCTGTATGCTGTGGTAAATGGGGCCTGTTTTATGTTAATAAAATGATACTTGCCTTAAATTTCTCATTATTTCTTTTGAGCAAATTGTGATTTATGAAAAAAAATCAGAACTCATTAAAACATAAGAATTATTAAACCATTTTGTTTAAAAATGTGAGGAGAAATGGAAAAATAAAACTTGCCAATTTGAGAACAGGATTTGTATGATTTATATTTACTTGAGTTTGAATATTTTAACTAAAAATTAACAAAGTAAATTTTAAGTGGTCTAATACTCTAAAAGGGAAATATTCCTTGAGATAGGATTTTTAGTTGATGGAATGAAACATTATAATAATAAATTAAATAATCCAGCTACTATTTAGGAGATGAAAAATCACTATTCATAGTTTGAAAAATATTCTGTACATATAATATTCCTATTCTGCTGCCTAAAATCACTGTACAGAATGCAGAAACACGCATTTCATGGCATTCCATGGCACATACATACCATGGTGTCAAGCCGACCAACGACTTCAAATGAAAAATCCACACCTCCACCGCTCATTTCCTTCAGCACCTCGTGGATGGGTTTCTTGAAGTCCTCTGGGCTGATGCACTCAGTGGCACCCAATTGCTTTGCCTTCCCATATTTGTCTTTGTTGATGTCCACCCCAATGATCCTGGCTGCTCCAGCCACTTTACAGCCCATGACAACCGACAGGCCGACTCCTCCAAGGCCAAACACCGCACAGGTGGAGCCTGGGGTCACCTGTGTTTCAGAAAATGCAAAAATGGATTAAGTAATGATTGTTGTATAAAGTGTCCTGTCTTATCCATTATCAGGACTATTCAGACTCCTATGTCCAACCTGCTGTCAAAACCTGTTTTGGCTTCAGTTGTTTCGTATTTAAATTGAGGAGTTTAAATCTGTGGTTCTGAACTTTGCCAGACATTAGACCCCCGTGGGGAGCTTTAAAACCTCTCAATAGCCAGGTCACAGCCCATAACCAATTACATCAGAACCTGTGCAGGTGGGGCCTGGTTCCCAGGTGATTCCAATGGAAAGAAAGCCCAGGCTGGGAGCCCACTTGTTGGATGATCTCTGAGCTCTAAATGCCAATGACTCCCATCTTGAAGAGAAGCTAGGGCAGTGATGGAGAACCTATGACACGCATGTCAGAGGTGAAACACGAACTCATTTTTTTTGGTTGATTTTTCTTTGTTAAATGGCATTTAAATACATACAATAAATATCAAAAATATAAATCTTTGTTTTACTATGGTTGCAAATATCAAAAAATTTCTATATGTGACACGGCACCAGAGTTAAGTTAGGGTTTTTCAAAATGCTGACATGCCGAGCTCAAAAGGTTCGCCATCACTGATCTAGGGGCTGAAATCCATTGACAGGCTTCAGTAAATTGTACATATACAGAAGCAATTTTCGGAAATAAAGTAAGTGGGAAAGGTTAATCCATGAGACCAAAAATAATCTAATCAAACGCTCAGCGATTAACTCCTTGTTTCATTAGCTTTAGAAGTCATGACTAGTACAATGAGAACAGAAATTAGCTGTAGGGCAGAGAAGAGTTATTCTCAGCTTCAAGTCAAACCTAACAACAGGGGAAATGGAACTGGAAACTTTAAACAGCTTGAGACCAATGTGATCTTAGTGGGTCTTTATCTTTGCTTTTTAAAATACACTAATGAACAATAATGCAATAAAAGTTGGCCACATTTTAATAATGGATGGAATTCATTTTCATGAGTGCCCTTGCCCTCTGCTCTGTGTGCAGGCTCAGTTAGACCACCTGCTCAAACAGACAAGGCAATTGCACAAGGTGCTAGAGTCACAGAAATTTGAAAAACATGTGCTTTCAGTTGTTGAAATTGGCTAGGGACTGTTTAATACACCTAGTCAGTGATAAGAGTCAGCCTTCAGTGTGGGTAAAATATTCCTTCTGTCCCAAGTAATCAAGCATCCTCTGGAGTACAATATCACTTTTTACTTTACTTAAAAAAATGTGAGGCTTGTGACTGTGGTTTTAAAATGCAGGTAACTATATATTACTAGAGGCCCGGTGCACGAAATTCATGCACTGGGGGTTGGGGGTCCCTCAGCCCAGCCTGGCCCCTCTCACAGTCCAGGAGCCCTCAGTGGCCTAAGCCACAGTCTGGCAGCAGAGGCTTGGAGCAGGCGCCCTGTGTGTGTGTGTGTGTGTGTGTGTGTCACTGGGGGCCTGCCCCCAGCCACACCGTGGAGGCTTGGAGCAGGCCCCCCGTGTGTGTTGATCTCTCAGGCTCCTGGCTGTGCCTGCGTGTTTTTCTCTCCCTTCCTCCATTGCTGGGGGCAACCTAAGCCTCCAGCTCCATGGCCTCTTGGCTTCTCCACTGCAGCCGCAGTGAGGCTTTGTTTCTCCGCTAAGGCCTTAGCGGAGAAGCCAAGCCTCTTCAGTCTTCAGTCTTCACTCTTTTTTTAAAAAATATATTTTATTGATTTTTTACAGAGAGGAAGGGAGAGGGATAGAGAGTTAGAAACATCGATGAGAGAAAAACATCGATCAGCTGCCTCCTGCACACTCCCCACTGGGATGTGCCTGCAACCAAGGTACATGCCCTTGACCGAAATCGAACCTGGGACCCTTGAGTTCGCAGGCCGACGCTCTATCTGCTGAGCCAAACCGGTTAGGGCGAGTCTTCACTCTTCACTCGGCCGGAGCCTTCAGTCTTCGCTCCTCACCTGCATATGCAAATTAACCACCATCTTTGTTGGGTTAATTTGCATACTCATCTGATTGGCTGGCAGGTGTAGTGAAGTGACACCAATTTACATGTTTCTCTTTTATTACTGTAGATTAGTGGCCTGGTGCACAAATTTGTGCACATTGAAAGG